TGTGGGGGGGGGGTATTTTGACATTTTATTTTAACTTTTTTAATTTATATTTATTTATTTTGTTACACTTATTGTTTTTGCTATTACATAGGGGGATAACAATCCCCCTATATAATAGCAAAGGCACACTGACAGGTACTCTTTATGGAGACATTAGGGGTCTCTAGGACGATTAGCACAAAGATGCTGATATCCCTCCCATCTTCCTCCTGACGCCCTCCCGAGCCGGTCCCGGCCCACAGATGGGCTAGCTGATCCCGGCGATTGAAGGTGAGGGGTCAGGAGTGGCGGCACTCGCGTAATGGTTATGCTGAAAGTACGGGTTTTTCCTGCCCGTGCGCACGCGCCCGAGCAGGGACGGCAACCCACAAATGGGAGTCTGGCTATAGACCCCTCAGTAATCACTGATCACTGAGTGTTTGTACCCCGCTCTCCTTCCTGACAGCTGTCACAGGAGGCTGGGCGGGGTGGTGCTGGAGGAGAGCTCAGCCTACTGTGACAGCGCTGGCTGTCTCCGCCCACACACCGCTCTGCCGATCTGTGACAGGAGGCTGAGCGGTGTGGGCAGGGGCGTATCTATCACGAGGCAAACTAGGGGTTTGCCTTGGGTGGCATTTTTCAGGAGGGCGGCCGGTCCCAGGCAGAGGGGACAGTAAGCGGGTGAAGGGGTCAATGATTGCAAGATCATTGTTTCTGTGCAGGACACTCTGGAAAGCTTCTAACTTGTGGAACTGTCCGAGCATTTACATGTCTCAGTGTCTGATGAGGAAGCCGCAGCCGTTCTCAGTAAACAGCTTCCTCATCAGACACTGAGACATGAGCGGATCACTGTCAGCACGGGACATTACCTTCTTGTCGCGATCTCTCGCCTCATCTGTGTGCTGCAAGCCTCCCCCTTCCTCCCCCCTCCCCTCCTCGACTCACGTGCCTCAGCCCAGACTCGGACAGAATGCTTCTTTCATCTCCCCAGGAGAACGGCCACCGGTCTACCTGAAGGCGAGGGAAGCGGAAACTTGAAGCCTAATAATAACAGCCGGGCTGCGGTGTCCTGAGCGGAGGGGAGGGGGGGCGTAACAGTGCCCCATCAGGCAGTGGTCAAAGACGGTGGGTGATCGTGTGGCCGCCCTGGGCACAGAGAGGGCTATATGGTTGCCACCTGATGCCAAGCAGACAGGGCCTGCTGGTATGCATGTGCACCTTTTGCTGGGAAAGGAGACAGACAGAAAGCCAAGACTCTGGACTACGCCAGCAGCTGGAGGGGGCGATCCAGGAGGCTGACAGGTATCTGATTGAACTGTGGCAGATAGATGCTCAGCAGTGGCGTAACAATCACCATAGTGACCCAGGCGGTCGCAATGGGGGCCCGGAGCACAGTGGGGCCCGGCCTGATGACGTGCGGGCCGCCTGGGTCGCTATGGGATCTTCTGCTGCTGGCTTTCACTGGCGTCTGAAGACGAACACGCCGCTGTTCAGATCATCTGTGCAGCGGCGCGTTCGTCTCCACAGTCAATGAGAGCCAGCAGCAGCGGTGTTAGCAGGCTGGACCCGGTGTTCTACCCTGTCGTGAGCCTCTGACGTCACCGGTAGTGGAGGAGGAGGCGGGCCCGTGCTCGGCAGCAGGGGAGGAGGCGGCCTCGATGACGAAGAAGGAGGCGGGCCCGGCGACGGAGGAGGTAAGTAGTGCGACCAGCCCACCTGAGGGTGATCCTGCAGAGCCCACCATAGAGAGTCTATGGTGGGCTCTGCAGAGTCACCCTCAGGTGGGATCTCGAGTGGGCTCTGCAAGGGGTATAACTAGAAATCACGGGGCCCCATACAAAATTTCTAGTTACGCCCCTGATGCTCAGCATCTGGAGGCCGAGAATAAGACAGAAGATCTGAAGTCCAAAGCACAGGAGAGCCTCAGACACTGAAAGCTGAATTGTAAAATGGAGAAGAAAGAAAATTGTGTGAAAGTGACAAGCGAGCACTGTACACAGGTCAGGTGTCATTTAAATTTCTGTTATGACATGCACTGTATATGCTTTCTAACCCTGGCCCTCAGGGGCCACTGATAGGTCATGACTTTCTAGACTGCCAGATAGCAGCAGTAATTAACTTCCTTCTGATTCTACTTTATAAAGGTGGCCATACACTGTATGAATTTCAGCTGGTTCTTGATAAACTGGCCAAAATCCACATAGTGGGTGCCGCTTTCAGGTGGCATCCCTCGATCAGCTGAACGAAAAAATCAGTAGGGAAATCTTTGTAAGAACAGAGCCGGCAGCAGGTTGCTTTTCGGGTATTCCGACAGTGTATGACCCCAAATCACTGACACAACATGTCACAACATGTGCTTTCTCTTCTCGCTCACTCCCCTGGTTGTCTCTCCTCGCTCACTACCCTGGCTGTCTCTCCTCTCTCCTGGCTGTCTCTCATCACTGTCTCTCTCCCCAGGCACTCTCCTCGCCCTCTCTCCTGGCTCTCTCCCCTTTCTCCCCAGGCACTCTCCTCACCCTCTCTCCTGGCTCTCTCCCCTCTCTCTCTCTCCCCAGGCACTCTCCTCGCTCTCTCTCCTGGCTGTCTCTCCTCGCTCTCTCTCCTGGCTGTCTCTCCTCGCTCTCTCTCCTGGTTGTCTCTCCTCGCTCTCTCTCCTGGCTGTCTCTCCTCAATCTCTCTCCTGGCTGTCTCTCCTTGCTTATCCTCCTGGTTGTCTCTCCTCGCTCACTCCCCTGGCTGTCTCTCCTCGCTCTCTCTCCTGGCTGTCTCTCCTTGCTTATCATCCTGGGTTGTCTCTCCTTGCTTATCCTACTCGTTGTCTCCCCTCGCTCACTCCCCTGGCTGTCTCTCCTCGCTCTCTCTCCTGGCTCTCTCTCCTTGCTTATCCTCCTGGGTTGTCTCTCCTCGCTCACTCCCCTGGCTGTCTGTCTCTCCACGGTCTCTCTTGTATAATGCTACACAAAGCAACAAAATATAGGCACTTGTTATCCACTTTTAATGTTTAGAGAGGAAGAGGTAGAGCTCTAAGAGTAAAAGGTGGACCCTAAAGAGGAATGGGTGGAGTTTACAGAAGGGGTGGGTCTTAAACAGGAAGGGGTGGGGCAAATTTAGATTGGAGGGGTGCCCGAGTTTAGTCTAAATACACCACTGGGTGTGGGAGGAGAGACACCGGCAGCTCACAGCGCTCTCCCATCCACAGCTTTAGACAGTTTCTCTCCTCCCCGCTGGGACACAGAGCAACGCCCAGGCAGGAGGAGAGAAATCACAGATGCACCGCTCTAGCGGCCAGAAAATGGCACTTGCGGCATTTAACCAAAAGTGCCATTTTCGGCCAATATGTTTCGGCGGCCGATATATCGGTGCATCCCTATCTGTGACACATTACCCCATGTGTTCTAATCCCTCTCCACACTAATCAAAACGAAAAAAAAAGGTTTGGCTTCAATTGGACTTTAGGGCCGGTTCACAGTATCTGCATTTTCTGGAATAAACGGCCAGCAGAGCCCGAACACAAGACAAGGCAAATTGCATTGTCATAAATGGGCTTGGTTCATACTGCTGCGCTCCGTTGGTGTGCGCTTAAAAAATTACATGCAGTAGTTTTTTTT